CAACCTGGTCAGCCATTAACATATTAAATTGTGATTTAAGCAAATTTATAGAAGCCTTTACATTCTTATCCAAAGGATTCATAATTAATGTTTTTTCTTTTATTTTAATCTCCTCCTCCAAATCTTTACGTTTTTGCATTTGTTTTCGCCTATAAGAATTATTCATTTGAATCAAAAGCCCCCGCATATAAGCCTTACTTGCATCCCATACCATTGACATTGAAGTTCCCTTAAACATATTTAAAGTAAAAAATTCCTTTAAATGTTCTCTAAGTTTCAATACATTCGCTTCATATCTAAATAAATTTTCATTCAACCTCCACGATCTTCTTTCCTCCTTTTCAGGAATTAATTCTAACCATACAGGACTATGATCAGCAAGTGTCCTTGGAAAATTTTTTACAGTTTTAACACTAAAATATAAATCCATACTAATCAAAAAAAAGTCAATTCTTGAAAACGATTGGTGCCTATCAGAAAAAAAAATGAAGCCCTTCTCATCCATATTGTGCTCTCGCCAGATATCTCTCAATTCCAATCTTCCTTCAGTTCAAAAAAAGCCTTTGGTAATTTAGCTTGCTTGAAAAAAGTAGAGGATCCTTTCTTATCTTTATATGTATCCAAAACACCATTCCAATCTCCCATCAAGATCACTGATTTATAATCCAATGAGATCAATTTTTGATGTAAAAACTTATAAAACTGTTTTTGTTGTTGATTAGGAGCATACAAGCCCACTATAAGCAATTTCTTTCCATATAACACCACTTCAATCATATCTTCCTTGAAAATCTGAATCTATTAATTTAGCTGACAAATTTTTCTTAACATAAATAACAACACCCCCTTTTTTCTCTGGAGCAGAAAATACAAAATGAGAGCCCAATTGGGCATTTATCAAATATTTTTGATCCTTTGAAATAATATGAGTTTCCTGCAAACAAATAATATCATTATTATATTGTTTCAAATAATGAAATATTTTCTTTCGTTTCTGAGGAGAATTTAAGCCATTAACATTCCAGGTCAGGAGCTTTGCCATCTCCTCCAGCTGCAAGCCTGGAGAAGACTGCTTGAAGATCTAACATCGAGGATCGAATCGAAGATCTCTTAGGTCTTGCTCCTCCCACAGGCTCAGAAACAGATTCTTGAGTAGATTCTTTTATGCCCATCTCATATTGCTCTTTTTCTCTTCGTCTATGAGTTGCTCGGGTAATTCTCTGCTCTTTCACCTCAACAGACTGCTGCACAGCCTGTAATTTTCCTCCTTTCATTGATGCAGCATCTCCAGCCAGTTGCTCTCCCTCTTTCACATCAAGAGCTTTAAAACGTAAGGGTGGTGGTGAGTGAGCTCCCAGGACAGACATATAAAACTCTTTTGCCTTTGCAACTGTATTAAGTCTATAACGTGTCCCCGCATGGCTCACCACAATTCCAATTGGAATATCCCATCTGAATGGCATCTGCTGTTTTTTAAGTTCCTCTGATAAAAAGGCAAAATCTTTCCTTCTTAAAATTTTTGATGGAATCTCCTTTAAAATTATCACATCCTGAGAAGCAATCTGAAATCTCTGGTTGTAAAATGCTTGTATTACTTCATTACGTAAAGATCTTTTTCCAAAATAAACCATCACATCTCTTGGTAAATTTCTCTGCTTTGCAATCCACGAGTTAACTCTAAATATTTTCTCTATTTCCCTCAATATCTCTTCTGGTTCCCTCTCAAGTATCACAGCAATATCATTTGCCACCACCTCCCTCAAATTTTCTTGCATATTTTCCCCCAAGCCTCTGATTCTCAAAGCGAACTCCATTTCTCTATACTGAGACATGAGAATTTCATCCTGTGAAGTCTCCACCGTTTTTTCCACATTTTCAACACGGTCTTCTAATAAATCCACTTTATCAACAACATCCTCAATGCGATTGTCCAGCTTTTCAACAACAGAGGCGAGTCCTTGCAAAGCCATTATTATATCCTCCCTCATAACTCTATTTCTCTCTTCCAAAAGTTCCTTCATTTCTTGTCTAATTTGACATACAACATTACCCATAACATCTTGAATATCTTTTACCGTGAGTGATGGTACCGGTGGTGAGGGTGGTGGTGATCTAGCTTTAGGTTGTTGAACTGTAAGTATTGCCGGAGAGGAAGCCACCTTAGGCACAGCAGAAGTTGCTTGACGCTTCGAAGCCATCTTAAGAAAAACTTTTCTCCAAAGAAAAAATCCAGAAGACCAGAAAAAAAAAAGAGAGGGAACAAAAACCCTCTTGTAATTATATATAAAAAAAGGGAAATAATAATATATTTACCCTTCTCATGCAGCCACTAAAGGTCCCAAAAATTACCACTTTATAATGATCAAAAAAATTGCATGAGAGGAAAAAACATCTCATCGCCATTTTACTTTTCCCTTATAACAAGAACAAAAGAAACTCTTCTTCCAGGAGTTAAAGTTCAAATTAAACTTGTAAATCAATTCCCCTGATCAACTCTGTCCGCATTCAAAATTAGCTCACCGGTTCACATAAGTTGCGGAGGTGGGAGCTGCGTCTTGCTTCGTCCCCCCCCCAAAAGGGAACAAAGGCATTTGAGTCGCGGAGTTTGCCTAGGACTCCGTGGGAGCTCACCCTTCAATCCCGAAAAAAGATCTCGAGATCTTAGTGGCTCTACCACTATCCGCAAGGCAAAAAAACTCACCTCTCTCCCTTTGCCCGGGAGAGAAGCTTAAGCCGCGGGACAGCTGATCTTCACTTTCACCGCGGTTTTCACACGAACTCAGGCGGACAGCTACAAAGTAGCCGCCATCGGCACAGAACAACGCCACCGGAAGTCGGTATCATGTGCAAATTTAATGAGTTCCCCTTCTATTCCCTTATCTAAATCGTTTATGAAGATATTGAAGACTACAGGGTCTAAAACAGAACTTTGGGGTACCTCACTGCTTCCTTGCCTCTATGTAGATGTTAGTTCTAATAAGGACTACACATTGAGTGCAGTTTGTCAGTCAATTACGAATCCATCTCATAGTCCAGTATAGCTGTCCCTCTAGTTCCCTCCTCTACCTTTGGATGAAAAGTTGTCAGCTAGGTTGGTCAGGAACTTGTTCAATCTCCCACTTCATGCGGAGTTTTTCTACTAGTTGATGTCAAGATAGTTAAAGTACCCCCCCCCCATTACTACTGTGGTGTGCCCTACATATATTTAATTGATTAGCAAAAAGTTCATCTATTTCTTCTGCTTGGTGGCCTGTAGTATACACCTATGGAAACGTCTTCTTTTTTTATACATATATATTAACCCAGATGCATTCTAGGAGGCTTTCATCCTTGGTCTTATGCATTTTTGTAGAGTTGTAATGATCTCTTACATATAATACAACTCCACCTCCTCTTTTGTTTTGAAAAATTTATATCCTTCCATCAGTAATTTCAGTCATTTCATTTCACCAAGTTTCAATAATGGCAACCATATCATACTTGCCCTTGTGTATTAGTACTTCAAGTTCATCCTGTTTGTTCCCCAAACTTTAAGCGTTAGTGTATAGCAGTGGTTCTCAACCTTTTTAATGCCGCGACCCCCAACCGGTCGTAAGTCGAGGACTACTCAACTGGTGCAGCACCGTTTGCAGAATGGGACTTTTGGTGGGCTCAGCAGGGCAGAGACAGCCTGGACAATTCCTATTGGCTTTTGAAAGCCAATAGAATTAGACTCTATTCAAGAGAGTCTATTCTATTGGCTTTCAAAAGCCAATAGAATAAAAGGGAGTAGCACAGCTAAGGAAAAGGGGAAAAAAATGGCGGACTACATTGTTTGGCGACCCCAGTGAAATGGTCGTTCGACCCCAAATGGGGTCCCAACCCACAGGTTGAGAACCACTGGTGTATAGGCATCTCAGTCTTTTATGGCTGACCTTACATCTCCTAGTCTGTATCTGAGTTTTTCTTCCTTCCCATCCCTCTCTACCTCTTTGTTTGATTGGTTGTCTTGGGGTTTATGCTTGGGATTAGGTCCTAAAGATCCTAAAGATTGGTCATCCTACCCTCTCAATTTTAGTTTAAAGCCCTTTAAAGCTGAGCCAGTCGTTTTCAAATATATTCTTCCTGATTCTTGTGAGGTGCAGCCCATTCCTTGCCAGCCTTTCTTGTAGGTAATGCAGACTGTGATCTAGGATATATATAGTCAATTATATTTAAGCCTTAAATATGGTGTTATTGCATTGGGAATTTGACTACGTATTAATACTGACTGTGGTATTATATGTTGATGTATCAGGATTGTTACAAATCACCAGAGCCTTTTAAGTAGGCAGAACACAAAATGCTGCATATGCCCAAATAAGAGAACTACTTTAGCTTTAATAACTAATAATTTAAATTTATATAGCCCAAACTCCACAGTGATTCTGGCCAGTTACTTTAAGTCTGTTTGTGTAATATACCAAGAGATTGCCTGGATTCTTACAACTTGCTGAACTTCAAACGATCCACTCCGATTTTAGCATAGTCTCAGGCACTTGTAAACTCAGACATTAAACCCGGAATGGCCGAAACGAGAGATTGAATGCCAACTGGCCGGAGCAGAAGGCCTTTCCTTTGCGTTGATCGTAACCCAGCTTGGTTGTTCAATTCTATTACTCTCCTACTCCTTTCCTACTGGTTAAAGTCAAGCAAAAAGCAGGCGTGTTTTTCCACCGCAGATATTTTTTGCAGTGTCTTCCGAATCTGCTTTGGGAGCCAAGACAGATCTGAGGAAAGGCTGCGCCATGGCTACAAAGCAAACCAGTGACTGCGTCAGCCCAAGCAATCGCCAAGATCGGAGGCGACCGGCAGCTAAGCCAGGCATCTGGCCAACCGGGGAGCATCGCCGCGTCCCCCCACCCAGCAAACGCGCGGAAGCCGTTTCCCCGATCCGTACCCGACCAACACCACCTGCTGCTGTCCGCCCTTCATAGTAGAAGAGGGCGGAGAACAAAAGGCGGCGCTCAATTAGGGCTTACCGTGCTTGCCATAGTAAGTCTCCTCTTCCTGCGCCATCCCATCCGCCTGGTCTTCCTTGCCCGCGTTCTCTCGTTTTCTCCCCACCCTCCTTCCCAGTCAGCTGCTGAACAACCGCCCAATGAGACGTCTTGGATCACTTCTCCTTCGGAGGCCGAACTAGCCAAACCTGCAGAAAGTGGGGGAACAGGAGGAGGAAGCGGCGGCAGCAGTTCTCTCTGCCTTTCCAAGGGCCGGCTCGGCCAATGCTCCTTGACTGGCGCTTGCCTGCGCTCGAACAGCTGCCTACAGAAACAGCCTTAAGGTTTCGTGAGAGTTCTGGTTTAGTATTCCGCGCCGGTCTTTCATCAAAGAGAACCTTGCACGCTTGATTTTCTCAACCAAATGCAACTCCAAAAATCTCGGTCACTGATAGAAAGTACCCCACTTCTCTCCACCATGGGATGTAGCTTTCAAAACAAGAGAGCAGCAGCTGTGGTGAAGTGGACTTGGATTTCCATCTGTATTTCTGGGCTCCTACCTTCGTTGGAACTTTGTGTTTGCACAACAGCCTAAGTCACAACGCTCAGCCGCATTTCAGTTTGAAATCCAGTCCACCATCAACCACAAAAGTTAATTGGATGACTGAGTCTACCTCATAGGACTGTTGTTGTGGGGGAAAATAAGCGGAAACATATTTGCTTCCCTGAGCTCCCAAATGAAACGTGCTTATGTGCAGAGTAATGAAACAAAATAATCTTATTTTGTCTTCTCTCGAGGCTTGAGATAGAACTGCATTGGCAGAGAAAATATATGAGATCAATGCCTGGTAATTTTTCATTTCCAGCATCTAACATTACTAATAAGGTCGCATTCCAGTAAGTCTCAACAAGACTTTTGTTCAGCTAAATAAACAGCATCTGATTATGATCAGAATTCTGTTTTATGATATACTATTAATATTTATAGCCTTTAATTTTTCCCCAAAAAATTAGGGTCCTATAAACAGATTCCTAGAATGTATCAATGTCTCTTTTCCATGTCTCATATAACCCCCAAATTGCAGAAGAAGTCTATATATTAAACATTATGATTTAACATGAAGCACAAAAGCATACACCATGTCTAACCAAACCTGGAAAATCAACTTAAAGAAGGCAATGCAGCATATATAGTCTAAAATCCAGTCAGAATGCTATTAGCATAAGGATGGAATTTTACTATGTAATTTACAATCATGACCATCCATTAGAAGACAAACTCTACCACTACAGTCCCTTTGGAAATTCCAAATTTGTCCTGCTTATAATTTTCTGTTTTTAAGGATGAAAGAATATACAAAACAATCAGCTCTCTTTGACTTGATACTAATGAGTAGGAAACATTCATTCTACATCTACAAGAATGTAGAAATAGCAGGATCTTGACTGTATAATGATGATCTTAATTTTAAGAGAAATTAAAACTTAATGAAGTCATCTTAAATATCAATCAACTCAGGGCAATATTAGGTTAGATTCCTTAGCAGCAAAAAAGGGGAAAGATCCCAACGTAGGTACCAGATATTAGAGAAATTCAGAAATTCAAGAGAAGTATGAAATACCAGATGGAACACAACTGTTGCTCCTACTTTTTTAAAAAAAGGGGGAGTAGAGATCCAAGTTCTAAAAGAAACCATAAAGTGATTTATCTGTAAGCACCTTAAGAACAATGTTTGAGTTGCAAAGGATCAACTTGGATTGTGAATCACCAGCATGATGTAGCTGCCAAAAAAGCAAATGCAATTTTTGATAGCATCAACAAAAGGATAATTTCCATTTCTGCTTTTCTCTGATCGGACTGGCTAGTTCTGAGTCCTGCATTTTAAGGATTCAAATAAACTGAAAGGGTGCAAAGAAAGGGAACAAGAATGATCAGAAGCTAGAAACCAAGTCCTATACGGAGAAATTAAATGGATTAAGAAAATTTAGCCTTGAAAGAGAAGATGGTCAAGATGTTTCCAATCATTACAATGTATAGAACATGGAATAAAGGATTTAAATTACAGGAGAGCTAATCCTGACTGAATGTTAATAAAAATATTCTAATAATAAAAAACAACTAGGCTCTAGAACTAACTACTCATAAACAGGGTCAGTTCAAGTAGAAGCTACATAACCATCTGTTAGGACTGCTCTAATATGGATTCCTCAACAGAACAGAAGAATCAATAATTCTAGTAAACATTTCATGGTTGAGAAAAGAAGAATAAAAACAGAAACTAGAAGATGTATTTATATGATATAGTCATTCTCATATAGTTACGCTAAACATGGTTTATTTAACTCCATTTGCTGGGCTCACATAACATATTGAATCATATATGAAACAGGATCAGAGATCACACAACATACTAGGCTAAAGTGTGGTTCATTATGATAGACAAACCCAGGGTGCTAGCATTTCTTAATTCTTAAATCCCTATAGCATTTACATAACAGAATGGTACAATCATTTTTAAAACATGACATTGTAAACGCCAGTGGGGAAAAAACAATGACCCACAAAATGGGCTTTCAGTTTTCCCAGTTGGAAAGCTCAGCATAGTAGGGGATGGGAGTAGAATGGGACAACTTGCTACTACCAACTCGCTGTGGCCAATTTACTACAGCCATCTTGCCCTAGTCATCTTGCTGCGGTCATCTCATCAGAGAACTCACCGCAGTCAAGTCGCTGTGGGACAACTTGTTGTGGGACAATTCTATGCAGGATAACTCAACGCATAAATATTTTACACCACGGTTTCTTCAACTTATTTCCATTGACAAAAATGTAGAAGAAACAGTGGCAAATAATATTATTGTGTTGAATTATCCCACATCAATTGTCCAATGGCAAGTTGTCCCACTGTGAGTTGACCACAGTGAGTTCTCCTGTGGTGAGTTGGCCATGGCAAGATGGTCATGGAGAGATGGCCACAGCGAGTTGTCCTAGACAACTAAGGCCCCATAATTTGAACACTGTCCCCACAAGTCAACTTGCCACATCTCTAAACAGAAGTTCTAAATTAGTTTACAAGGCCTTTCAAAACTCTAATATGGTTCCTGATTACTGATATTCTATGGCCACAGATATAGGAAAAGGGAGACGGGGCCTCTGATCAAGCTGCAACTAAGCCTTCAGTTACCCCAAACAGAAGTTATTATGATATGTAAATAAAGACTGATAGAGAATTATCCAAAGAGTTTCAGGAACACAGGGACATGTACCAACCCAGGATTCGCCAGCATCTACTTCTATGCTGATAGCTATTGCCACTGAAGTAATTATTTCAGACCTTTCCTTTTTAAATATTTTTAAAACATGTATAAAAATAATATCCACAAGAGCAAAAGCCCTCAAAAAAGTTTAAAGGTTGGCCCCTCAGAGTCACCATCAGTTTCACTAAAGCTACTTAGTTTGATTTATGAGCTTGATTATGTCATGAAAGAATCCAAATGACCACTAGATGACAATAAAAATATTTTTCTCTTTGTTGCCATCTAGTAATTGTCTGAATTTTGCAACTCAGTTCTGATCACTTTAGCTTAGCTCTTTCCTGCTCTTGCAGCATTAGGTGGCTCTCCTGCCTCAGGACTGCTACTGATTCTTCTGAACCAGATGCCTGAGAGCACCTGAATACCAATGTTATTATTATATTGTAAAGATCTTCACCTAACTTAATTAGACACACTAAATAAAGATTTAAGGTCTAGAATAGGGCAGTTTTCCATCCTGATTACTTTCAACATTTACCTATCTTGAAGGAGGGGACATTTGAAAGCCTTGCACTTTCCTTTTTAGCAGGCTGGAGTACTTCCTTAAAGAACCCAAGTTTTAAGAAAGAGCAGTTGGATGTTCATCTATCGTTAGGTATCCAGAGTCAGCTAATGTGTTGGGTTTAATAAGAAATCTGCAATACTAATAGATTCATGTAATGAGTATTGCTTTTTAAAATGCCACTTGCTGGATATCAATTATTCAGAATTTTTTCCACTTCAATAAGGCAGCAAGTGTGCTACAATGTCTGGGAAATCCTGCACTGCATTGCAGCGGCACAACTGAGGTGCAGGTGTAAAGAAGGGAAGTCTTCCTCTTGTTATAGATCTTGTTACTTGTGAAAGTGCTGATAGGTTGCTAATCAATAGCACCCAAACAAAATACATTAGAAATTAGAATCAGTCCAAACCCTGAAACAGGAGGACATTTTCTTTAGAAAATGTCACACAATTAAACTTTTCAAAGGGAAATAACAGAAATAATTACAAAAGAAGCCCAGACCCATAAATTAGTCATCACAGATGCAGATGCACCCAGGAAGGGTGGGGAATGCCTCAAGGAAATGACCATTATTCTTTTTTAAGGGATAAGCCAAGCCGAATTTTAAAAGACCAAAGAAGAGGGGGGGGGGTTTCTTCTCTCACTCTCCTTCCCCCGCCCTGAGCAATTCTGGGCAGACAGCCAAGAACCAAAAGAAACACTGAGGGCAGGAAACTGCAAATGCCCGCCTTGTATAAGCAATCAAACCCATCGATCCCACCAGATAGGAATAATGTAATGCTAACAAAATTAACACAAAACACATATAGAAACCTATTTACATGAATAAAACCATCTCCTAAGGTCAATATTAACTTCTCCCGATCCAAACAAACACAAACTAAGGAAAATTAGGGGAACAAATACCTTTACAAAATCCAAATCATAATTTCAATAACTCCAGGGGTATAAAAGCTGGACCACTCACCTTGGAAAATCACTAGCTAGTCCAGAAACCACTGCTGTGTCACTACTCTGTCCGGTTTCTGCAATAAAATCTACTTTCTGGCAGCTTGCTTCGTTTAGTGTCAATTCTTCCATCTGAGCTGAAGATCTGTGTCCCAGCTGGGATACCGAACCAGAGAAAATTCTTCTCACAATCTGGCGACCACTAAGGGACTCCAGCCAACCCAGCCACTAGACCGGGCCCGGAGGGCTCCTAGCTCGCCTGCGACAAACTCCCTTTAGTCTGTAGGTAAGCCCATGGACCCTGCCCAGGAAGCAAAGGGTAGTAAAGGGAGTCCTTGAGTCTTGCACTCAACAGCTGCCCAAAAGTAGGTAAGTACCACTAAAATTGTAGCTTGGGGACAAGAGTGTATGTGTGAGTATGTGGGCTTCCTCCTCTGATCACAACTAGGATATCACCTCCTCCTTGTTTTTTCCTAGCTGCCCCCAGGTCTGCTGCTATCTTCACCAAGCCGTGACC